AAGGCAGCACAGAGTCTGAGGACAGAGCACCCTGCCTCCATGCCTTCTCACCCTTCAGCTGCATTAATGCTGCCCAGATGGGCTCAGAGGCAACTTGCATGGATCCAGACCTCCCTAGCCAGAGTCTGTCACTGCCGTGCACAGCAGCACAGAGACGACGCTAGACCTGGAAAGTCAGGTCAACCTGCTCCTGCGAAAGCACAGCCGAAAACAAGAAGTGGCAAGGGAGGGCATCTGCTACCAACAGCAAGCCAAGCCATGTCCAGAGGACAGCCCGCTGTCACCAAAACGGGTGACCCCTGACCCAGAGCTGGTCCAGTTCAGCGACTGTTTCATTCAGAGGTGGGGAACCCACTGGGAGTTAAACAAGCAGTAAGGGCTTGTCTGCCTCTTCCAATAATAATGACAAGTTCAGCATGTACGGCCTCTACCAGCTCGGCAGGCCTGGAGATATTTGGAAGTGCATGTCACGCGACTAAGAACAAATCCACTGAATTCACCAAACACAAATAATCATAGAAAATTCAGGTTGGAAGGGAGCTCAGGAGGCCACATCTAGTCTAACCCCCTCCTCAAAGCAGGACCAGCCCCACCTAAATCACCCCAGCTAAGGCTTTGTCTAGCCAGGTCTTAAACACCTCCAAAACTCCCCCACCTCTCTGGGTAGCTGTTCCAGTGTTTACTACTCTCCTAGTGAGAAAGATTTTCCTAATATCCAACCCCAACTTGCCTTGCTGCAGCCTGAGCCCATTGCTCCTTGTCCTGCCATCTGCCCCCACTGAGCCCAGCCCAGCTCCATCCTCTCTGCAGCCCCCCTGCAGGGAGGTGAAGGCTGCTACTAAGTGCCCCCATTCCTCTCCTCTCCAGACTAAATAAGCCCAGTCCCCTCAGCCTCTCCTAAGTCATGTCCTCGAGCCCCTGAATCATTTTCATCGCCCCCATTCCAATAATACTTCCTGTGCTTGCTACATCAGTTTGTTTTAAATGCAAAACAGGCTTTGATGAACTTTTCTCCTTCTGCACCCAGCACATTTAAAGTATCTAAGATGTAACTGCTAAAAATAATACCTGTAAAATGCTTTTCTTTTTGCAGTTTATTGTATACCAGTTTCCATTCTGATACAGCTCGTCACAAATCACAACATTAATCACCTAGCAAGACGTGCATTTTCACCATTTCTGTCAAATCAAAAAATCTAAATAAATCTCGGCTAAGCTCCTAGAACTGCTCAAATCAATGCATGCAGACACCAGGTGACCCTTCTGGTCAGCAAAAAGAAACAGATTTGGTGGAACAACTATATCAAGTTGCAGATCAACGTATTTTAATAGTTATCCGTGGGATTCAGACGTACTTTAAGAAAGCAGAGAGAAAATACAGGCACAAAATTGAAACGGATTGAAATCAACCCGCCATGAAATCAAGCGTTCCTTTGTTTCCTATGCTCGTTCACCATCAGCACAAATATACAACGCGCCCCGGGCTTTTCTTGTCAGAGAATGTTTTATGATCCACACGTCGGCAGGAGCCCGAAAGTGGCCCCATTCAGACTCAAAAGGTCTCCTGGGCTCATTAAGTGCTAAGAGAAGTATCATCCTTGCTCCACATCTTGTATCCTCCCCCCAGCAGCCAGCTGACTGCAAGCAGTTACTTGGCTCAGTCTGCATCTCATGCTAGATACATGCATCAATTCAAAACCAAGAAAGATGAAACCCTTGCCACAAAGAATCTACGATATAAACGGACAAACCAGAACCCTGGGGACGAGCTCAGGAAATGAGTGGGCACAAAGACATGATTTGCAGAAGCAGCAGGTCTCCGCAGACGTGTGGCTGAGGAAGGGCTCAGACTGCGGGAGGTGGTAGTTTCAGACGCTGGGGCCAACTAGAACGGATGAAGAGACAGGCAAGAGTGACTGGGAGAAGGGAAGACGAGCAGAGACCAGGCAAGAGACAGGGTACGCTGAAGCAGAGAAGCTGGAGGAAGGAAAGAAGTGGAGGGCAAGAGAATTCCCTGGTTCTAACCCAGGGGTGGGCAAAATGTGGCCCGGGGGCTGGATGCGGCCCACCAGGCCATTCTATCCAGCCCGCAGGGCCCCTCAAAAATTTAGAAAATTAATATTTATCTGCCCTGGGCTGCCTGTCATGCGGCCCTCGATGGCTTGCCAAAACGCTGTAAGCAGCCCTCCACCCGAAATAATTGCCCACCCCTGTTCTAACTCCTAGCTGGCCTGTCAGATGAATAATGAAAGGCAGCCCATTCAAGACGGGGCATGGAGGAGCCCCTTGCTCTCTTGCTTGCAGGCCTGCTTCCAAAAGAACAGCGTGGACATGTGCCAACAGATCTGCATACCCACAGGGGCCATTCCTGGCAGGCCTTCCACTTGCAGCTAGGGGAGCGGAGCGAGTTCAAAGGTTGCACAGTTTTGTCTTGCTTGCGTAAAACAAAGCACTAGACTCGAGGTATCAGATCAACCCCCAGAGCCACAGAGCCGTGCTACCACGGCGTTCACCCACACGCGTTTCAAAGAGGAAAGTCACCTGCACGATGAACTCCCATCTGGGGCACTAGGCAGCCACCGATGGCACCGTGGACTTGTGTGATCCTCAAGCTCAAGAGAAAAGCTTTAGTGTACAAGTCGTTTTGAACAGAGCTAGCGTCACTGTTTAGCTTACCCCACTGACCAGTCCTCAGAGGACAAGCCCCAGGTGAGCAACAAGGAGCTAGAGCAGCATTAAAAGTCATGATGCTACACCCAAGCCCCCAGCGCACCCAGGCAGAGAGAACTGCACACCCCGAGTTGGAGGAGAGCGAAGCGGTACTTCCTTTCAGCCTTAGTTACTCGTAGGTTCCTTCAACAGGCAGCGAGCAGCACAGGTCACCTTCTGCCAACCTGAAAACTGAATCTCGCCAGGACAGCCCAGAGGCATGGCATCACGGTAATGAGCCAAAGTGCTCCTTCCCCAGTAGCGACTCTGGATGTGCCCCCAGTTAGGGCACTCGCAATGTTGTGGTACTACGCAATGTGCTAGTCACCACCAGGAAAGGGAGAACCCTCCATGTATGAAACTGAGCCCCGAACAGCATCTGGTAGAGTAACGGAAGTTACTTCCAGATAAAATCATCAGCAGGCTTAACACGAGCAAACCACTTCAGCGGACAGTTCTGCTGCTGGAAGGAACTTCTTTTACAGAGGCATCAAAAGCCACCACCCGTGATTCTGCACGTTCAGCAGAGCTTCGTAAAGCAGACAGGTACCGAACAAACGTGTCATCTAGACCTGGCCCTGTCTAGACCTGGTCCTGCTATATGCATTTTTTGTTTTAAAGCAGATACGTGAACCCATGGCATGTGTGGATGTACAGCCACTAGTTATCTCAGTGCTGGAGACTGCAGAACACTGCAAGCTTCTCTCCCGCTCCACAGGGGCCACCTGGACTCGGTCTCCAGGCCACTACAAATCGTTGGCCCCTCTGCATCCACTGCCAACAAGCAGGCCAGGGAGCAGGAGCAGCCCTCACAAATGTCCCCAAGAACAGCAGAGGCCAGACAGCCTTCCAATGACAGTCACTTCAGTCATGCTGCAGGCATTTTAAGGAGTGGCACTATGTGAGCTTGCTTTGGGACTGCACCATGACCGTGTTTCGGAGCTGACTTAATGCTATGTTTGCTGAATGAGAGGGTGGGGAACCACCTACCCAGAATACAGAAAACCAAAGCTAGTTTGAGCTTCCAGTTCCTCTAGAGTAGAGGAAATAACAGAAACTCTCTTCATCTCAAACACAGGCAAGCTAAAAGAGAAGCCAAGTACACCCTATGGAGCCCCACAACATCAAGCAACTGGTTAGAAAAAGAAAGGAAACGCCTACTCTCTTCATCAAAGACTTCCTGGTGCAGTGGATATAAGCTAGTATCTGGGGGAAGGAAGGAAGACCCTTATATGCTGCAACACAGAGCCAGCCTAGGCTTCCTCCACTGCCAAGATGCGCTGACCGAGGAAGTAATGCACCTGCTCTTCCCCAATCTGAGCGGCCAGGGTTTTTCCTGGCAGCTGGGCAGACAACCTCATCTTTATTACATTGCTGAACACTCACACCACACTTGCACTTAGCAAGGCCACAGAGAGCCTTTGGGATGGAGACAAGTGCTACATTCACGCCGGTTTCTGAGAGCCCCTTGGACACTGCGAGAATTGTCAGCAGCCTCTTCTGCTCTCACCTCTTTGTGAGAGAGAAAGCTGCAATGCAACTCTCAGCAGACATCCTCAGCCCTCTGAATAGGCATGAAACTATCCCACAGGGAAAGAGAAAATAGAGTTTTAAAGAGGTGTGAAAGGAAACAAATGAAAATCCCAGTACTCCCATGCAGAGCATCCTGAAACATTCTCCCCCTGTGCCTGCCAGCCACAGCACCCACAAGGCCCCTTCTCACTTAACAGCGCAGCAGCACTGAGCTCCAAGGCTTTTGCAGGTCATCAACCTCACCCATTCACAAGCCACTCTCCTCCAGCAGCACCATCCCCAAAAGCCCTCAAATGAGAGGGGAGGTATGCCATTTCTCCAGTCTGCGACCTCAGAGAAGTCTAACTTCTTCCTACCTCCTTTTCTCACATCTGGGAAACCAGGTAAATACCTGCCTCAGCTGGTGGTTTTGTAAGGCTTCTGTCTGAAAAACTTGGGAAAAGTCCAAGACCCAAGGAAGCAAGAAGGCCCTCTACAGCCAAAGTTACCGCTATAATTTGCGCAACTATTTGATACCCATGAGCACAGCCCCCCTCTGTACCTAGGGTAAGTGTCTGGTTTAAGTCAGACCAACACGGCTAAAAAGTACACCCCTGGTTTAAGTCAGCACTTCCTTTGAGTGCATTACCTAGAAAAAAAAGTGCTCTTGTAACAGAACAACAGCTCAGCTTCTACTTACTGTGGACCACTTCCTTCCCAATCCCACAACCTCACCCATCAACTAAAATGCTCCAGGGTATGGAAAGTGGGATTTGACCAGATGTGGCCCAAATTTTTGCTCAGTTATGGGCATATCTGGTCAGTTCATTCTCCTTGCCTCCTGCTTCATAGCTGCACTCTATATCCTGTCCCTGCACGCTCAGCTTTGCTCTACTGCATTTGTACAATGCCATAAGGCTCCAACATGACCAAAGCCTCGGGAAACCAGTTATATAGCTAGCTCGTTGTTGGGAGTCTCCCTCATTGCTCCCCTCTCCAGGTCCTTGTGGTTTGAATGTGTTCTCCTGTGCATGTGTTCCCTTCCACCAAGGGTGGTATCCAACACAAAGGTTATTGGTTGAACTGATGCTAAAACCTTCAATAAAAAAAACCAAACCAAACCAAACCAGAGACAAACAAACCCCTCACAAATTAAAAGACAGAATGCGGTCATAACAAATGCACAGAGGTGCTCTGAAAACAGCTGCACTGGAGAACCTAATAAGTTGCGGCCGGTGTGTACACAAGCCTTTCCTGGAGACTCTGCCTCCAGTTCACAAGTGCAGTGACAACAGTTGCATTTATAGGGCATCAGTACGTTATTTCCATGCCATCTGCAACTGCTCCGAACTAGACACCACTGAGGTAGGAGATACAGCAGCCTCGTCTATGGCGGCTCTGCCCCAGTTCGTACTACCTACGGAGCTTGACTGGCGGTAGTGGACTACCACAGTAATCTTTTCTAAAGAGCGCAGCTCGGAGAAGGCCCACGAGCCTCAGGCCACACCGCAAAACGCAAGCGGCACTGCTGCGGAGAGGCAATTGCCATTCATCACTGTGACAAAAGCAATGCTGCAGAGCACGTGAGAGACCTGCTGCCTTGGAGCAGCCCCGCGCACTAGCTAAGCGAGCGTTAGAGCCTCAGGGGGAAAAACGTAGAAGAGAAACAGAGGATGTGGGGCCAAGAATTCTTCACGAAGATCCGTTCGTGTGAAACCCACGTTTCTCTTTGCACAAGAAGATTCCAGCGACAGAGGTCGCTGCTCACAGCCGTCACCTCAGCCACTGGACGCCGTGGGCTATTGTTACCTCCCCTTAGTCGCACTAGCCTACGACAACCACTTGCCAGGCAGATTAGACAGCTGGATTCCTGCCGAGCGACCCAGCTCCTTTTCAAGCATGGTGAAGGGCCAGACTGACCCATCTAGGGGTTTGTCTTGCCTAAGAGGCACAAATGAGTTTAGATTCAACCCAAATAACAAGTACTGAGCTTGACCTAAACCCAACTGTTTTTCCTAGTCAGATTACTCTTGGACGCTCTCCCTTCTGCAATTCTTCTAGAGAACTACTGCTTGCTAATCCTAGTAATAAGCAACGCCACCGAACTAAAAGGCCTGGAGAACGTACTGCCAGCTAGCACGAAAGGCTGTGCAGATGCTGCCCGTCCTGATTTAACCTCTGGTCTGTGCAGATTTTGCCTCCTCTCCGAACGGAAGTCAGCGCCACGCGCAAATACAGCATTTCTTCCATGCTGCGGAAAGGAAGCAGGATTCAAATGGGAACGAGAGGGGGGGGTGGGTTGGTTCTTGCCCCCCGTGATCGACCCTGTGGACACCTACGGTCGCTGCAGCCCCAGCAGAGCCGGCGTGTCCGTGCCATCAGGAAGCAACTGGATTTTGCAGCAACAGGAGAGGCATTGAAAACGAAACAGAAAATACCATGACGCCACAACACCCATCCTGGGTTTTGCCCAAAGCTTGGGCGAGTCTCAGTTTAGGCGCCACCCTGGGATACCTCGAAATCCTCCCGAGGGGATGCCACTGCCAGGTGCGTCAACACGCACCACGAGAGAAGGGATCCTGTTTGAAACCACTGGGTTTACGTGAAAAGCACACCGCGGCCTTTCTGCGCTCTGTGCAGCAGGACAGGAGAATCGCTCGAGGATTTTTCTGTTGTCAAAAGAAGCAGAGCGAAAACAACGGACTGGCACGGAGGGGGTGGGCTCGCACAAACCACAGAGAAAAGTCGGGCTGGTTATCCGGGTCCACCCCCGCCCGAGGCAGGATCGCCCCTAACCCCAGACGCGGCCGTCGTCTAAATGCTACGTAAAGCGATCCTCTGCCCGGACGCGACACGCACCTCACCCCCACACCTGCCACAGGTAAAGGGGGGAGGGGGGCACAGCAGCCAACGTGCTCTTTTACACAAGGCGACGAGCATCGGAATTGCCACGTCCTGGGTCAACCCCCATTCATCCGTATTAGCGTGCCCCGTGGGGGGGGGGCCCCCAGCCATCG